AAGTTCTAGAGTCCAATGATTATGTTAGTAGAGGCTAAGATTATTTTGAAATGAGTAGTAAAATTAGAATAGAGAAGGTGTCTCCAACAAGTTTATTGAGAACTAAAAGAACGAATATAAAGAACTACTATTGGTGATCCAATGAAACTTTAAGTTTGAAACACTATGCTTCTTAAAAGATGGGCAAGGCATGGTGAGCCTTTAGTGTCAAACCATTGATGAATATTGGTTTAGTGCTAAGGATGAAAATGGTAATCCATGATAAGGTTACTTTATAAAATGGTTTATTGTTTATTGAATTTTGTCCATGACACAAATCCCTAAGTCCCAAAATAGAGCTTAAAAGGGTATCATATGGTAGTGGCCAAAGTGGAAGCTAAACAAATGTAATATTAATATTTGGACTAAAAGCCCCAACTCGAAGAGTTGAGGGTGAAAATGGAACTCTCAATGAAGTGCTTAAGGAATGAGCATGAAGTGATCAATAAGTGAGTCTCTAGAAAAAAGAAATGAAAGGACCAATATATAACATGTGGAAGTATAAAAACTAAGTCTGAGATGGAATTTAAGATAGAGTCAGAGATGGAGTTTGAAATGAAGTCCAAGATGGAGTCTAAAAAAGAGTCTGAAATGGACACCAAGACCAAAGTCCAAGATCAAGATTGAAACTAAGAACAAGACCGTGACCAAGTTTGAGTCCGAGTCCAAATTTGAATACTAATATTGTAAGCGACTAAATTTTCCATTCTACTTTAATCACTTAATCATACCTTCGAGAGTCTCACTCATGACTTTCATAAGTCCTATTCTAGACTTAAGGATTTATTAGCTCCATGAATGGCATCTATGCCACTCAGCCTTTCCATTCCAAAGGGTTTCCATTCCAAAAGTATAGTAGAGAGAGTGTGGGGATTGGACTCTAATGGAATCAATTTGGCTAGGAAAGGCCAATATGACCCAAGAAGGCTATACCCACGTGTTAGGTGATGATATAACCACTAAAGAGTTCAAGGCTAGAGTAAATACTGATGGAC